GAAAAATATAGATAAAATATATTAAGAATAAAATTTGTCTAATTATTATAAAGAGTAATTCACTGGGTTGAGCTTCAGCTCAGGTTAATAAAATAAAAATGTGTTTGCAAAAATTTTAAATATAATTTGTTTAATAGGGTGAAGTATTAATGAGTTAAGATTAATATTGATTAAAAACAGGATCTATAAGATAAGAATAGAAGATAATAAGGCAATTACTTTTCTCCAAGTTTATTAAAAATAGAACGGAGAATAGCTATTAATGTACAAATAGAAAGAATCATTCAGGTTAAATATGGATTATATATATATAAAGAATTCTATATATGTATAGTAAGATTTTGCTGGAGTAAAATTCAATTAAACTAGTCTTCAAAGATATATGGGTATTTATGATTAATAATAAAAAAAAAATAAAGATAAAAATTCTGGATCTTTAATAACAAAATAAATATGGAAAGAAATTTTATTTAAATTTCTGTTATTCAGATTAAGATTGCGCGATTAAATAATCAAATCGCAAAATCAAACAATTAACATAACGAAAGGATTCGTAATATATCAATCGTTTAATAAATAATTAATCATAATTTAAAATATGTTTTATACACTAATATTTTCTCTCCTCCGGGTATACATATAATATGATAGTACGTAAAATATTTCGGCAATGACTTTTCACACTCGTTTCAAATTCGTTTCCTAAACGCGGTCGCGACAAGTATCAGAAAATAATTTGATAAGATTAATATCTACTTATCTTTTACATACATTACCACGATAAGAAATAATTATTTCTTCAAAAATAAAATTTAAAATTAAATATATTTTCGACGCTTTATCGTTTGACTTTATATGAAAGCTATAATCTTGTAAAAGTTTCTACTTTTAGATTATAGCTTCTATATGAAATTATTAGAGTCATTAGTAGAGTTCTTTTTCAAAATTTAGAAAATTATTTTATTATAATCTATTTTGCTGCTACAATTTGGATCTTAAATATTAATTATACGCTGCTATAATTTGGACTTTATATTTTTATGTTACAGACAACGTAGCCTCAAGACCAACAACTCCGCTGTTGCGCATCAGTGCCGGTGAGTGAAACTTTATTTTATTTTGAGGTAACGGATTAGTAGATTTGTAGATTGTAGATGCAAATTTAGATTATAGATTGTAGATAGATCCGTTGCCTCAAAATGGATGGGCTAGATTAATTATTATAAGAATTTCAATCAATTAATTTTGATCGATTATTTGGCATTATATTAATTAAAGTAAAATTATATTAAAACAATGCTGCATGACAAACGGTCGTAATATCTCACGACCGTAAACGAGCGTAAAATTACGCTTATGCACCGGCGATAATAATCCAATTTCAAATTTGCAATCAATTTGCCTGTTTCTATTGATTTTTTTGATACAAAAAATTATAGTTACGAACGAAAATATTTTATTAATTAATTTTAATATAATTTTCAATTAAAAAAAAAAATATTTCTAGGTGCTGAGGATAGAAAGATTATTTCTTGGTTTTTTTTAAGAAATCATTTACAGGTATTAAACATCTCGCCATTCTAGGATAGTATTCTGGATAGTTTTTAGATATATCATTTTATATAAATAATAAAATACATGCGCAAATTAACAAACTGTTTCCAAAAACTTTTATACTTTTTTTAAATATTATGTTACAAAATACATATTATCTACGAATGTAATGTAAAATGTGCGTATACTTTGAAACTTCGAGACAAATCGAATGGGTACCTCGATATCAGTGAAATATCAATAAATTAAGGTATTTAAATGCTACAGAAAAAGATTAATTATAGTTTAGAATTATTATAATTATGCTTGATATTATTTTATGTGTGTTGCAAAGTATCCAAATTAAATTTTTTTAAATTTCGCTGTTATCGGGTTCGATTCGTCTCGAGCAGTTGGTACCCGAGAATTATTTGTACTCGCACATTTAACACTAGCTACAATAACGCAAGACATGTATTTTATTATAAATATAGTCGTTCGTAACCAAATTTTCATAAAAATTGTTATATCCATTTAATTTTTAATAAAAAGATATATTTCTTAATAATGGAAGAACATATTTTCTCGCGCAAATTTCAATTTCGTGAATTAAAGATAATGACAATGGTAACTGTCATTGATTCGTTACCGAAATCATTGCTATCAGGAGTAGTCTAGAAGATCCGGGATTCGTTTCCTCCTACAGCGGGGTTCCTGATATTTAATGGATCACTTAACTTTTCTTTGCGGATTGATCTTACGGGGTCCGATGTAGAAGCAAGAAGTTGATCGTTCTCCACCCTTAAGATTGTTCTTGTCTTTGTCGGATATTAACCGGCGTGTTATCTGGCGGAGGGATCTTGATCTGGTCAAATAGTTGGGCCAGTTATCCTCCATTGAACGCGGCGATAACGTAATGTTTTTATAACGGTATCTTAAGATTTATAAGATTTTATGCTATTTAGCTAATCTTTTGCGAAACGGTACATATATTTTTATTCTCAATCGCGAAATTTGTATAAAATCACGTATTTGAAAATAAATCGGGCATTAGGTTCTATATTCACAAATGTCCTATTATAGACGCGATTATAAAAAGCATTTCAAATGTCCGTCGAAACATTTTCGTATATAATAATTATATCGTTCCTCTGATTGTTTCAAAAATTACATGTACATACATTAGAATCGAATATTATGGCTATTGTTGATTTATTTGTTCGTCGCGTTTTTTTTCCTCAAATTTTAAATCGCGTTTTATCTTATGATTCAATCGTTAATTTATATCGAAGCTTCATCTACCTTTTCTCGAATACTTTTTTTGAAAATCTACGCAAAATGCGCTAGTATACCAAGTACTTTTTTCTACAATTAAAAAACAATCAATAATTTTATTAACGATTCTTCTGGTCATAATAGTTTGTATTATATAAAACTTAATAAGCTTTATGTGAAGCAGATTTGGTTGTTCTGCGACCGATTAATCACATCATGTACTCCATCTTGGATTATTAGGAATACTTGAATTATTAGATTAATTAATGAATTACTTTGAGTAAGCGTTTGATGTTTAATCAGGGCAAAAAATCTTGTGCTTTGAAGCAAAAATAGCGTCAAAAACGGAGCATGAACTTTATATTATTTATATTATTAATGCATTATATATTTATATTAATCAGATTCTCTCGAAATCTACAAAACATACACTACTTTTTGGTCAAACATATATTCATGACAAATTGAATTTAATCGCTCTCAAAGCAATCAAAACTGCTTCACTCGAAAATGCTAATAGTTACCGGTAGGGTCACCCATGCCGGACAAGTCGAAGGGGAAGAGTCTGACGAAGAGAGATACCATAATTATTATATTAATATTTTGAAATAAAATGAAAGCAAAAGAAACAGTAATCAAGATATTTCTAAGTCCCGAAGAGAGCAAGAAAATATTTGGAGCCCATTTTTCTCTCTATTCTTTTAAAAAGTTGGCGCCCAAAAACCTCTGAAATCACGGTTATTTTTTACATTTTTACAAATATCAGGGAAAGTATGCGTCTTTTAACAAAAAGTACCGAAACAAAAATTGTAGAGAATTAAATTATCTTTCAAACGAGATCAAAATTATTGTAGTTCGTTCCATAAGTTTTGAAATAACAGTCAATAGCCGAAAAAACACTTTTCGGTACATTTGAAATTAGTTATTAATTGGTTTATTTCAAAACCTATGGAGCGAACTACATTCACTTTGATCTCATTTGAAAGATAATTTAATTCTAAACAAAAAGTTTCCTATAAACATGGATCGAAAAATGTTTCCTTAAAAAGTTAGCGCCCAAAAACCTCTGAAATCACGGCTATTTTTTACATTTTTACAAATATCAGGGAAAGTATGCGTCTTTTAACAAAAAGTACCGAAACAAAAGTTGTAGAGAATTAAATTATCTTTCAAATGAGATCAAAATAATTATATTTTACGTTCCACAGATTTTGAGATAACCAGTTTCAAATATACAAAAATGTGTTTTTCGATAGCCGAAAATGTTTTTGCGGCTATCGACGGTAGAGCTTTTCATAATTTTTCGCATAAAGACACATTCAAGTAATAGGATAAGTAGATTTTTTTGCATTTCCGACTTTTTAATTAAAGTCCTGTATAGCACGCCACGAAATATAAAAGAAATTCTTAACTTTTACTCTTAATTTTTACGCTCCAACCAATATTGCAAGAGATATCTTGATTTTTCGTATAACATTTTGCAAAAACCTGACAATATACTTATTACCGGACAATCATATGAACGTGAAAGAATTAATTAATATTGCTAATGATTAAAACTTTATAAAAAATAAAAGATTACAAGACTATAGGAAAATTATAGTAGAATAAACTTCTGTTTCTCAGAATTCGATTTTTCGTATGTCGTATCACGTATCAAGATATTTCTAATTCTTGAGGGGAGTACGAAAATATTTGGAGCCCATTTTTCTCTCTACTCTCTCGATTAGTTGGAGCGTAAAAATTAAAAATAAAAGTTAAAAAAAATTTCTTTTATATCTTGTAAAGTGCTACACAATAACATCGTGCGATCAAATAAACGTGAAAAAATAAATTTGCTGTTAATAATGAAAACTCCTTAAAAATTGAAAGAACGCGAGTAAAACTATAGGAAAATATAATAATTATAATAGAATAGACCTCCGCGTTTCGGAAATCACAATTTTTCGTATATCATATAAAGATATATTCAAGTCTCGAGAAAGATAAATTTTTTCAAATCCGGTTTTTTATTTAGAATTCTGAGTAGCATCCCACGAGATATTAAGGAAACTTTTAATGCTTGTATACTAAAACCAAGATTGCAAAAGATATTTAAACTTATATAGCTACAAAAAGCAAATTAAGATAGCTTTTTTAAACAATATTTTTTTTAAATTAAGAGAGATTTGAAATAAGAAAATAAATTAAAGAGATTGTTTATTAGATTAAATGCAAATTTTGAATTTGTTTGATAATTTATATTTTTGCTCCTATTCTTTTTAGTATTATTTATCTATTCCTTAAAGATACAAGATAATTAATACATATGACTACCTGTTGATTCTGCGTGTACGTGACTACCTGTTGATTCTTGCACGTAACCATCTGTTGATCTTGTGCGCATGTAACCAACCGTTGATTCAGAAAATTATAGTCAAATTATTAAAAAAAAAAAAAAAATTATAATTATAATTTAAAGATTGACTAAAGTAAACAGGCTAGAGAATTTAGGCAGCAGACAGCATCAAAAGATATTATAAATTATTTGTAAAGGTAAATATTTAATAATCATCTTTATAATATTTATGTAATTATCATCTTTATATTATTTTATTTAATTACAAGAATAATATGTTGCATTTTTTTAAATGTGTATACTGTTACATTTAAAATTAATTCATAAATTATAATTACGAACATAAAAATTGTGTGTGTATGTTGTATGATACATGACACAATTATTGTCTCGTTCTTGTTCCAAATTTCAGATATTTGCAACTATTCCCATTATAACTATTTCTTCGATTGTAATAGATGAGCCAGCATTTCATTTTCCTTTGGTATAATCCATTGTATTTCTCCACCTAGAATACAAGAGAAATTAATTATAACGCATATAACTTATTATGTTATATATTATTTTATTTTATTTTTCTTTTTTTGCTTGTCTCACATATAGTACAATTTAGATACCGACAATAAAACTTACATTGAGCAGCATAATCTTTCGTCCAGCCTGTTAAATTCAATGCAGAATTCATTTCCGCTAATCCTTTGTAATTTTCGACAAAGTATAGATTTCGTTCTCCTTTTAAAGAAGTGGAGAATAGTTCCTCGATAACGTTATAATCCGCCGCGTATTTTTGACCTTGGCTAACGACAATTGCAAATGCTTCATGGCCGTCGTTCCTAAGATTTTGCAAATTTTCCATAGCAGTTCGTAAATTTTCCTTGTCATTATCCTCAACCACGTGTTCTCCATCCGTTACGAAAACTGTAAGCGTACGCACATTTAGAGTACACATATTACAAAAATATTTATAAAAAACAGTAATTAATAAAAATATTATAATTTAAAGTAATTTTTATTAGAATTGCAGACATTGAAAACTATATCATTATACATGAAAGCATTTTCCAAAAATTTAAATTAAAATTAAATTATATATAAAATTTCTAATTTTTAAAATCTCACCTATAATAACTTGTTGTATATTCGAAGCGCGAACGGCATCAACTGATAGGAGAGCTGCGTTAATTAAATTTGTCTCCTTTCCGACAACTCCATCAAGATCCGCGCTTATGCGATCCGCACGATTCGCGAGCATATCCTTGGATAACGAGATGAGAACATTACAAGTATCCGTTTGATTCAAGGCAAGAGCTATCTTAGCTTTTTGCGAAAAAGTAATCATGCCCATTGGATGATCTTGTGACAATCTGTCGGGTGATTAAGCTAGTAAATTCAACAGAACTTATCGTGATTTTTATACAAAGATCATTTAAATTCAATCAGGCAAAAATAAAAAAAATTAAAAGAAATTGATAGCAATTTATTTCGCATAATATCGTATATAAATAAACTTCGATAAAATTTTTAAATTAGTTTTGGAAAACAAGTATTAAATTTTGCTGAAATAAATTTATGCCGTTTAAACGTAATTATTCTTAAATGGATCAAATGATTCTTACGGGAAATATCGGCGAATAATGGTAGTTGCTAGTTTCATTTCTTCAGCGAACCAAGTATTCAAGACGCTTAAACTATCATCCATTACAAAAAGTAGGCCAGATTGCTTGTTCTTAGCCAGCTGACGTATTCTTCCTGCTAAATCTGTAGCTTGTTGTTGAATATCTATAGTAAAAGTGTACACAATATATATTTCTATATATAAGGTAACAATTAAAAAATCGCTTAAACTATTCGGCTGTTTTTTGAATAAAATTGAAAAAATCAAACAGTTTTGAATACAGGAAACCTGTCAATTTTGCATACAATATAAAAATTATATAAAGCATTTTGTGAAATAATAAAATTTTACATTTGAAAAAAAAGTATAAAAACGATAATAGATAAAACTTGATTATAAAACAGTTTGATTTTTTAAAATTCTATTCATTTTTTTTAAATAAGCCGAGAGAGAATAGTTTCAGTAACTTTCTAATTGTGACCCTCTGTAGATTTCATACAAGAAATATTTTCTCTTGTGTTATGCACAATTTTGTACACAAATTATCTTACATATACACACAAAGTTTATTTAAGTAATTAATAAAGATATTTTTTTTACCCATACTTCCTTCGACTTTTGTTTCGTTTACTTCTGTGAATTTTGACTGTACACTTTTGCGAGCGGATAAATTGCAGAGAACATATTGATTGGTCGTGTTGCAAGGTAAACCATAGAACAATGGTGTACCATGACCTTCGCGATCCAAATTCAGACAAATCTCCCGATCGGTGTAAGGCCAAGAACCGTCAAAGCACCAGGAACTTCCGGCACCAATGTCATTCCTTGAAAGAACCTCGCCATTCTCATCCACCCATTTCCAACCATCTTTGGACATAACCGTTCGCCCATCGACCCAAACATGGTCTAATCCTGATTTTATTTAAGACATGCAATTAAATAAGCCTCAAATTTAGCATAAACTCTATAAAGAAATATTTAAATAAATGATATTCAAATTAGCTGAAAACATATATATGCAGATACTCTAAAAAAATTTTTATAACATTTCTTATATTATATAACTTTTTTCTTAGATTAAAAATTTTTAATGAAATATTGATATTTAACAAAGTATTTTTTATTATATATATTTTGTATGTCATATTATTTATATTATATCTTATATATTTTACCTAATTTCGTCATTTTCTTTAATACGACGGATAAAGTTTTAGCGTCTAATATATTCGCTATACGACCAGACTTGCTTTGACAGTAAACTTCGCCTTCGTTCCATGTCATTTTAGCAAAAGAAAATATTAATCTTTCATTATCAATTAATATGTACCTCTCATCGTCTTTCGATATTTCTGGATTCGCTAGATTCGCAAAAAAACGTTATATTTAGATGTGTGGTTCTATTTATGTAACATCATTAAGAAAGTAAATTAATGCTCCCTCTCTTTACAATAGAAAATTATATTCATTATAATTATAATTAACTTATATAACACTTAAAGATTTTAATGTAAGATAATTTTGCTTATAATATACCAAGACAGAATCTTTTAGAGAATAATTATATTAAGCAACAGCTTGAAGAACACGTGGTAATAAATTTCGATTTACCATTTTGACAAACGAAAGGCCTTTTCTTCTGACAGTCCAAATCGATAAAAACCGGGGTTGTATGCTCCGCGCAGAGATGTCTATCGAGAATCAGACATCTTTCCTCTTGATAGAAATCATTGTTTTTCGCTGATGGTAATATGGGGTGACCGTCCGACCAAGGTGGATACGAAGTAATGTTCGATTTTTTTGACAATAGCGTAAATCCCGATGAAACCCATATGCAATCGATACCATCGATGCAACGACCATCCAACCATACGCTCTCTATAGCTATCAGTTACAGAAAATAATTTATTTATTTATTTTTAAATTTCCAATGAAAAAATTTTGGCTTAAAGTGAATGCAATATGCAAATTGTAAAAAGATCCCTCATTACACGGTCTGCTCCGCAGCATGGCATTTGCTATGACGATGGCCGCTTCATTGGTGAAAATCATAGCAAGATGTTTGCCCCTCTTTTTACACTGCAATCTCGCGTCTTTCCACGTAATACCACCCCCGTTGACTTTTCGCACCCCTTCCGCTTTTAATTTTTCTTCGTCCTCGTCGATGACTTGATACAATGTGTATTGTTGGCCATCGACAAAGACACTGTTGCCCTCGATGATTTTCTCTTTCGATAATCTTCTCTGTCCTTTAAAATTGTAAAATATTTTATTCATATTAAATATTTTTTAATGCCACTTAGCTATATAATTCGAATTCTAGTTTAATCGACACAAACAAATTCAAATATTTTATTTATTAAATAAGTAATACATACGTCTCGTGCTAAGATATTTAATGCGCGATATACACTCGAGAAAAGATGCGAACGGAAAAATACAAAAGAAACGTTATAATGCAGTTGATAGCGCGAGTCATGCCACCTGCGTGACTTTTAATGAAAACAGCTGATTAAAAGCTACAGTAGTATAAATTATCACGGATGTAGCGATGAACGCGGCAACAAACGTCGCGACGATTTACGATCGTTTCTAATGCAAACGTCCGGACAAAACGAATCGCGTTTTCTTTGCCTCACGCGACGAATCGACGAATGTCTTCTCACCGGGTCTCATACAGATGAACGGTTTACGGTGCTGGCAAATATCCGGCACGAGAACGGGAGCTTCGTGATTTAATCTGTCGAACGTGAGACAGTTCTTCTCATCGTTTCCGTGATTATCCGCGATGTGCCAAGCGGGATAGTCTCTAATTATCAAGGAATTCGATATCGACGTATCCCCCTTTTTTCCCGTATCAATCCAGGTCCAATTGCTGATGGAATCCTTCCTTCGACCTCCGATCCAGAGACCGTCGTATCCTAAGCGATCGTAATGAGAATAAAATTCAATGTCAATTAATTAAAAAATTGAGAGAATCAATCGCAGAGTTCGATTCGTGCTATGTAGAATATTTAATTTTGATTAAATCTATTTTATGTTATTGAAAAAAACGCATCTGTGATTTTAAAATTATAAAATCAACAAATTCGAAAAACGCGCAAAACATTATCTTTTTATATTTGAAAAAGATAGAAATGAGAAAACAAACGGTAATTTGATTCGGATAACATTCGTGCGAGCCAATCCTTCATGTCCTTGTCGAATATCGCCAATGTGCTTCCGGTATCTGTTTCCGCCTCGCGCGTTGAAGGATCCGGCAAGAATCCATATCCCATTTCCTGCTCCTCAGAACCCGGGAGAGAATTTAGGTCTCCGTAAATGGGACAGATTGACTGCGCTTCGTTCCACGGAACTCGTTTACCAATCACGAAAAACTCCCATTCAACGTCTTCATTTCCATTTTCCATTTCATTAACGTTCCTCGGAATGTAGATAAAATGATCCACGATTCGATTGCTTGACGTTCCTATTGAAAGTATCGTTCACTTTTAACATTTAAGACATGCAATTAAATAAGCCTCAAATTTAGCATAAACTCTATAAAGAAATATTTAAATAAATGATATTCAAATTAGCTGAAAACATATATATGCAGATACTCTAAAAAAATTTTTATAACATTTCTTATATTATATAACTTTTTTCTTAGATTAAAAATTTTTAATGAAATATTGATATTTAACAAAGTATTTTTTATTATATATATTTTGTATGTCATATTATTTATATTATATCTTATATATTTTACCTAATTTCGTCATTTTCTTTAATACGACGGATAAAGTTTTAGCGTCTAATATATTCGCTATACGACCAGACTTGCTTTGACAGTAAACTTCGCCTTCGTTCCATGTCATTTTAGCAAAAGAAAATATTAATCTTTCATTATCAATTAATATGTACCTCTCATCGTCTTTCGATATTTCTGGATTCGCTAGATTCGCAAAAAAACGTTATATTTAGATGTGTGGTTCTATTTATGTAACATCATTAAGAAAGTAAATTAATGCTCCCTCTCTTTACAATAGAAAATTATATTCATTATAATTATAATTAACTTATATAACACTTAAAGATTTTAATGTAAGATAATTTTGCTTATAATATACCAAGACAGAATCTTTTAGAGAATAATTATATTAAGCAACAGCTTGAAGAACACGTGGTAATAAATTTCGATTTACCATTTTGACAAACGAAAGGCCTTTTCTTCTGACAGTCCAAATCGATAAAAACCGGGGTTGTATGCTCCGCGCAGAGATGTCTATCGAGAATCAGACATCTTTCCTCTTGATAGAAATCATTGTTTTTCGATGATGGTAATATGGGGTGACCGTCCGACCAAGGTGGATACGAAGTAATGTTCGATTTTTTTGACAATAGCGTAAATCCCGATGAAACCCATATGCAATCGATACCATCGATGCAACGACCATCCAACCATACGCTCTCTATAGCTATCAGTTACAGAAAATAATTTATTTATTTATTTTTAAATTTCCAATGAAAAAATTTTGGCTTATAAAGTGAATGCAATATGCAAATTGTAAAATGATCCCTCATTACACGGTCTGCTCCGCAGCATGGCATTTGCTATGACGATGGCCGCTTCATTGGTGAAAATCATAGCAAGATGTTTGCCCCTCTTTTTACACTGCAATCTCGCGTCTTTCCACGTAATACCACCCCCGTTGACTTTTCGCACCCCTTCCGCTTTTAATTTTTCTTCGTCCTCGTCGATGACTTGATACAATGTGTATTGTTGGCCATCGACAAAGACACTGTTGCCCTCGATGATTTTCTCTTTCGATAATCTTCTCTGTCCTTTAAAATTGTAAAATATTTTATTCATATTAAATATTTTTTAATGCCACTTAGCTATATAATTCGAATTCTAGTTTAATCGACACAAACAAATTCAAATATTTTATTTATTAAATAAGTAATACATACGTCTCGTGCTAAGATATTTAATGCGCGATATACACTCGAGAAAAGATGCGAACGGAAAAATACAAAAGAAACGTTATAATGCAGTTGATAGCGCGAGTCATGCCACCTGCGTGACTTTTAATGAAAACAGCTGATTAAAAGCTACAGTAGTATAAATTATCACGGATGTAGCGATGAACGCGGCAACAAACGTCGCGACGATTTACGATCGTTTCTAATGCAAACGTCCGGACAAAACGAATCGCGTTTTCTTTGCCTCACGCGACGAATCGACGAATGTCTTCTCACCGGGTCTCATACAGATGAACGGTTTACGGTGCTGGCAAATATCCGGCACGAGAACGGGAGCTTCGTGATTTAATCTGTCGAACGTGAGACAGTTCTTCTCATCGTTTCCGTGATTATCCGCGATGTGCCAAGCGGGATAGTCTCTAATTATCAAGGAATTCGATATCGACGTATCCCCCTTTTTTCCCGTATCAATCCAGGTCCAATTGCTGATGGAATCCTTCCTTCGACCTCCGATCCAGAGACCGTCGTATCCTAAGCGATCGTAATGAGAATAAAATTCAATGTCAATTAATTAAAAAATTGAGAGAATCAATCGCAGAGTTCGATTCGTGCTATGTAGAATATTTAATTTTGATTAAATCTATTTTATGTTATTGAAAAAAACGCATCTGTGATTTTAAAATTATAAAATCAACAAATTCGAAAAACGCGCAAAACATTATCTTTTTATAATTGATAAAGATAGAAATGAGAAAACAAACGGTAATTTGATTCGGATAACATTCGTGCGAGCCAATCCTTCATGTCCTTGTCGAATATCGCCAATGTGCTTCCGGTATCTGTTTCCGCCTCGCGCGTTGAAGGATCCGGCAAGAATCCATATCCCATTTCCTGCTCCTCAGAACCCGGGAGAGAATTTAGGTCTCCGTAAATGGGACAGATTGACTGCGCTTCGTTCCACGGAACTCGTTTACCAATCACGAAAAACTCCCATTCAACGTCTTCATTTCCATTTTCCATTTCATTAACGTTCCTCGGAATGTAGATGAAATTATCCACGATTCGATTGCTTGACGTTCCTATTGAAAGTATCGTTCACTTTTAACCGTCGTCTGAAGTGGATTTTAAAAACTCCTTAAGATAAGAGCACCTATGTCTTTCCAATGGGTTCCATCAAGTGCTTTCGATCGAAGATTATCTCGCGAATAACAATTCTTTTTCATTACAATTCCAGTTTAGAATAATTTTATGTGGAGAGAATCAGAATTATTATATATAGCTTAGATGTAAAAAAATATACGTATATATATAAAACTTGCATTTATAGAACACATTATTTCAAACATATTAAGTTTTTACATGTAATATATATCTTTTATGATATAATTTTGTGATAATAAATTTTTCTTATTAATACAAAATTTGTTTGAAATCTGAAAAAAATCTGGATCGGTTTTTACAAGAAATATGAAATGATTTTGATCCTACCTATTCGGAAAGTCGTAGCTATCCCAAAGATGCAGATAAAACAAAAAGATCTCGAAATCATTTGTTACAAATAAGTACGAATGTCGATGATATAAATGCGCCAAAAAGAGCGACGTATAAAGCGGAGAATTTATGCTTGACTGAAAGATCGATTTGGTCGACTCGGAAGTTGACGCTATTCAAAACGCATTCGGACGATTAACGAGATGACGGCGACTGTAATGAGCGTTACCAATCGGCTGGTAATGCGCGTGACAACGATCGATCGCCGTCCGTACGGTTCTCCTGTCACGATATGTCCTCATAATTCAATTATGTATCAATAAATCATTTGTTTAATCACCGTTCCCTTCTCTCTCTCTCTCTCTCTTTCTCTTTCAGTCGTTAATCACTGAACGAAAAACTCGTCAAATCACGATAATGTCCACGATATAATCTCACTTCTGATAATCAATGCGATTCCTATGTTTCTCTTCTCTTTTAATGCGGAAAAATATCAAAGAAATAAGGATATAAGATGCCTCCCAGGATCACCGCATCATCTCCTAATCAATCTTAATTACAGATTTCTGAAATCATATGAAGATTTTTCTTCAGCAAAAATGTCGAGGGAGATTATCATTTTTTGCAAGTTCCCAATTTTTACCATCACATATCTTTGTAACTAGCAACAAACCTCAAAAATGAAAATTTTATTAAAATAAACTTTACTTGAAATTAACTGAAAAATGTAGTTTGGTAATTTTTTAACTCTCTCAATAAAATTTAGTTTACGAAAAGTCTTTCTTTTTTAATCGCTTATTATCCGGAAATTATTGATGTCTTGACATTTTTATTGAAAATCATCTTCAAATGCAGTGACCCTGGGACACCCTGTATAGAGAAGCACATACATATACAATACACATTTTATAATGCTACAAAATATCGCTTGCTTTGAATAATCATCTTTAATAATACGTAAATTTTTTTCAAACTTTTTATAAATATAATATAAAAGTGTTCTTTTTTCTCCAGTTTTTAATAATTAATATACAATTTCAAAAATATTTTGAATTTATAGATTTATCTTACAATATTCAACTTTTGTGTGAACAGAGAAATGCAGTGTATATAATATAAAATGACAGAATCTCTTGGTAGTTTGTCTCGAATATATTTTATTATACATACATTATTGAAAATATATACATGGTAGACTGCAGCTTTTCGAAGCAGCGAAGTGTCAATATAATTAGCTACATTCGTATGCGAATCTGTTTATTTTTTTTTTTTCCTTTTGTTCGACGACGTCCTCTCGATAGCCAAGATCTTTCGAGGTTGTCGGGAGGCACGTGTAGGCCGACACGTGTAGACCATGGATGTTGTACGTGAAACATTTTTTTTTGGAGTTTCCGTTTTCTTAAAACAGAGCTGATTGATAACGGCCGATCCGCCTAATCCGATCGACTCGGCGAATCGTCCTTGGTTTATTACGACTATTACAAGACTGATCCGTCAATCCGTCGATACACGCAGCGGATATCAGGATACTTTCGCTGACTTCGATTAATATCTGAATCTTTATCTTTCTCTCTACACACATGCATACACACAGACACACTCACGTACACCCTCTCGCCCTTTCACTCTCGCTCGCGTTTTCTCTTTCTCTCTCTTTTTTTTTCTTTCTCTTCCTATTCACAGCCTTCCTATTCAAACCTACTCAGCCTTCTGTCTTGCACAGCCAGACACTTACTCGATCATTCGGCATCAACGCTTGGATCTCTTATTTCCTTAATTATCGTTACAACACACGATTCAAAAAACGGTGACAACTGCGGATTATTATAATTAAATTGTAAGTGGCGATCATCGAAAGTGTGTGATGGTACTTTGTCTCTTCTCTCAGAAATTCAAGCGAATGTCGTTTATCTGAAAATCGTCAAAGCAAGTTCCGCACGCCTAGATCAAAGGGTATTCCCAACAGGCGATTCTTGCGGTTATCAAGCTGCGCGATTTGTTACACAACAAACGCAACGTAATTAACGATGACAATAATGATGTCCCGATCGATCAACAACGATTATAATAAACGTCTTCGCGAACCATCCTCCGGTGATTATCATCGGCGCGTATCGCGATCTGCCCTAACTGACATTCGGACGCCGAGTTAAACCTTGGTTCAGCCAAACAACATTCTATACGAGCGTTATAATTTATCGTGCGGCAAACGATACGATCGTTCGCGACAACAATTTCACCGGATACACAGAGTCATTAATCTTGTAACATTTCAGGCACTGCGATTGACTTTGTATTTTGAGTTTAACTCGCGCAAATCCAATGGCAGGCAGGCGCAGTCAATCAGGGATTCGCTTCTCTCCTTTAAACTCGTAAGAGAAAATCGTGAGAGATCTCGAATCCCGAAGTGCCGTGTAAGCGAGGTACAATTCGCTTTCGGAGGAGCCCGGAAGAAAAACGCAAAGATACGCTCGTATCGAGATTCGCGAGAGGGATCGGAAAACCTTGCACGGGTGCGGGTAGCGTGTGATGGTGTGTATGTGTGTTTATGTATATATGTGTATATGTGTGTGTCCTGCATCATTGCGGTTACGTCATGCATAATCGTACATCGCTTATTAATTGTTAACCTGACTTCAAACGAGACACGTTTATAATGATCACGTTACTCCTCTATTGATGACACATGCAGCGTATAAAACATATCTTATCTATATATTTATTTACTGTTGTTTATATATTTATATATATTTATATATATATCTAGGTTGCCGCATCCGTTATTTCTGTTACACGCTATATATTCAATATATATACGCGATACGTCCCTTATGTGCTACCAAAGGATTAACAATCGGTACTTCATTGTTCCTTTTCCCTCTTCTCAACGTTTCTTTCACGCCTAACGACACACGCCGTGTCGTTATATCAGCAGAATATACCACATTCGCGATTCACGATTCACGAATCAAAGACAGAGGAAGGAAAATGTTGAGGTGCGTCCGACGGATATTGCACTTCGAAAGTGGACCGCTTAAAAATATCGCGTTTTGGTCTTCGACTGGCCATTAACGCGTTCAAAATGCGTCCTCGGCGTCTTCTCGAGTAAAAATCTGGCAAGAGTACACTTCTAAAAATATAGCCAATGCTGATGTATGTATGTATGTGTGTGTGTGTGTATGTGTGCGTGTCTTGTCTCTTTTATATTCAAAATAAATTTTGTCGATTCCGAAACCCAAATCCGTTCCGTCGTGACAATTTTCGGAGAAACTACGCAGTGTAGAATTTCCTCGTGTACAATTAAATGGAAAATAGTAAATCCATATATATATAATATATATAT